TGCAACATGTATAATTTGTGAGTTTCATGGAGAAGTGTGGCTGCTGAACTGGAGCGTTGCTGATGTGAACGCATCAACTCAACATTAACAATGCAGATGCAGAGGGTGACTCAGGGGACAGCTTCTTCTTCTTCTTCTTCTTATCCTCCTCCTCACTGACCAGAGTCTTCGTCGGAGCAGCCGGGGTTTGTTATTATGGGATTTAGGCCTCAGAATGTTGACAGCCTGATAACACTGGCCCTGATTCACACTCTGAGCCGCGCTCGTCTGGGTTTACACAGAGCGCAGAGGCCACATCGTCTTAATGACACATGCGTACTCTGTGACTTCACATTTTGAACTGTGAAAGCTTCTTATTCCAGCTGATTATCACTGAATCTTAATATGGCAGCAGTGTGAGCTGGAACAGTAATGTTCCTGCTGAATGTACCCTCGAAACAAGATTTTTTTATTGAATATGTGAAAATATACTTTTTTTTTCTCACTGTTTTACATTCAGTAACAAAATGTTAATTTTGGGGGATAGTTAGGATATTCAAAATTATTTCTATTGACTAAACGCCTGAAAAATGAGACTTTTTAACAGATCTGGCATTGACTTTTGCTACTTTGGAACTAATTTTGTCTGTATCTTCATAGGTTTTGTCTATTTAGTGACTCTTGTGCCCACATAAATAATTCTGGTGGGCTGGATTTGGCCTGCGGGCCTCGAGTTTGACACCTGTGCTCTGTACTCGAGAACCACATGAACACAACTTTAATTAAAAGCTGTGTGCTTAAATGTTAATCGATAAAGTTACCAGTTGTTGAGTTAATCTAAAGTTGAATTATTTATTTATGATCAACTAATTATTAATTGATAAGAGGCTATTTTCTGAAAAGCTAAATATTTTATGATATACAGAATTTTTAAGAAAAAATCAACATTTTTTCTTGCATTATTAAACTTTGGCATATTTATAAAAATTTAACAAAACCCTCTTATGTTGCTAAGTAGAAGATGCTTATGTTGCCATTGTTCTTTGCTTTCTCCTCCACTTTTCTATCATAGTCAAATCTTTGCCTTCATAGTAAATTGATACATTTTCATTGCTGCTCCATCAAACTTTGTTGAGTCTTTAAATTTCAAAATAAAACTGCATAAAGTGACTATATCATCCCACATCGGACTATTTGGACGGTTTCTCTTTCTTGTTCTGGTAAGACACCGCCATCTTTATTTCTGTATCAACTGCCTCCACTTAAAGACGACCAGCGCTGCCCTCTTCTGGTTGGAGGTCAAACTACAACATTAAAAGTGCTAATTGAACACATAGAAATATGAACACCTATTTGCCGCCATCGTCCTGAAATGAAATTGAGTTCAACATTTTCTTATTCCTGCTTTTGGGGCAGCAGCCAATCAGAGCAAGGAGAAAGAATGGAGCTGCTGGATTGGTCTGCTCTGTGAACACCAGCCAATGGCGTCTCAAGTAGAATTGCACTGAAGTATTTCAGCTTTCCCAGCTGCAATTTCTTTCTTCTTTCTATATCTGAGATATGGTATACAAAAGAGATCTGCAAATATAACACTGACTCACAAAGAAGGGTTGCTTTGACTTAAGCAGAACATTCAAACTAAAACCACCAGGAAGCCTTGCAGGTTCATTTGAAGCTGATGTCAAAGTTAATAAAAGGAAGTCAGAATGCCTTCTAGCTCCAAGGTATTATTATTAACACAAATATTAATCCGGTCTCTATGTGAGGTGTAAGAGGCTGCAGCTGCTAATGAGAGTTATGTCCCGTCTCTGCAGAGCCTTTCAGAATGTTTTACCTTAAATTATGTTTCATCAAGCTGTGCAGCGCAGCTGCTAACGGTTTAACAAAGCTGTGCTACATGGTAGCTGGTGGTCAGATTGAAGCTTTCAGCAGCTGAAACGTCCATTTAAGGTTGACCAAAATGAACAATTAGAATTAAATATTAATTAAAGGCAGGAATGTAAAGGAAAATAGTAGTAGATCTCTACCAATAGAAACAGAAATAAATAAATCCACTTCAGCAGCTATTGGGTGAGACTCGCTCTCCAATAAAACTTCATGCAACTTTAAAAGTCGAGCCTCGGGCGACTTAACAAGATTTATTTATTACAGATGCTAAATGTAAGCAGGGCACTGTTTACAAAACCAAAGGTGGGTTTTATGCACACTCATAGGCCACTTTATTGCTAGTAGCGCGTTGGACGCTGCTTGGCCTTCATCCTTCATGGATTCAACAACCACAGTTAACAAACTGACAATGTTTAAAAAATAAAATACTACTCTTACTTTTCTCAGTTTAAAGTTATTTCATTGACTATTGTGGGTTTTTTCTGAGGTTTTCCAACAACTTTGAACAAAACAAATTGCTTTGCCTAACTTGAAAGAAAATTGGTGATTTTTTTTTGTTTTAAAACACTAAACAAAAGTTGTTTATGAAACAAACAGCACTGTAAGTAATAAAGAAAACTCCAAAATGAGGTATGTTCTGCTGTGCTGAAAATTAAAACTGTATCCTTTCATGTATTATTTTTTGCTTGGAAAAAAGTTGAAACTTCTTTGCTCAAATACGGCTCTGTTTGCCCTTATTGACAAACCTGGAGCAACAAAACAAACTTATTTTTTGATTAAGGTTAAAACAATTATTTGTGATGAATCGTTTTTGAAATAATCAACTAATTTAGTATCCAATTAATCATTAACTGGAGTATACAGAGAGTTATAATTAGCCCAGAACTGCACTAAAAAAGTTAATTTTACATTTAACCTGTACACATCTTTGTTTGTATATATGTTTAACACAAATCTCCTCAGATTTGTGAATTGGCTTCAAAAGGTTACAATTCACCAAAGAAATGTTTATTTTCTTATTTGAAAAAGGAATTAAATTATTTATTTCAATATTTTAATGTATTTCTAATTCTGTATAAAAATGTGTGAGTGGTTAAATAAAAAATCTGTACAATTTGAGTACAGACAACTAAAAAAATGTAAAAACTTCATATAGAGAGATGAATTAACCCAACATGGGTGTCTGGACGAAACCCAGACACTCAAACTGCTTGCTGAAAACCTACGTTTCTACATTGTATTGCTTAATATTTCATGCCGTTTGCATTATATTTTACTACCTCTGGCTTGGGAAAAAACATAAAAAAACAGGCGCAACGTGAACAGCAAAGCAGGAAAATTATGATAAAGTGCGGCCAACTCCATCGTGTTTAATTAAAGTTTCACAGGCAGGACTTGGATTTGTTTTGACTTCCCCTGCCAAGGAAGTCTCTAATTAAGCAGGATGGTTACTTTCTAAATCAGAGCGGCTCCACGTGTATCTGGGTTATTAACGGCGTTTTTTTTTTCAATAAAGTGATCCAAACCCAACAGAAAAGAAAGACAAATTCGGGAAATAAGCGATGATTAACAGTCTGGTCTCTGATTCCAACATGAAATAACCTGAATTCAGCTGCCAAGACGCGGGTGTACTCCCACTTTGGCATTTGAGATGAAACAAAGCCGAAGCAGTGCATGCATGACTGACAGGAAGTTGGGGAATTTGCCCTTTGTGAAGGCTCGTCTCATTGGCTAAACGATCCTCAAAGACGGTTATACGAAGAATGTCAGAGGCAAGAAAGCAGAACCGCATGCTGGCATTGCTGGAGAATGTCACCAGGTTCTCCTGCCAATTTTATTTTTTTTAGGTAAGTTGAGCGCCTTGGTTTGTATAAATAGATCAAACACGTGATTATATCTGCTCTGGTGATTATATCGGCCCTGTTATCCCACACAATGATCCAAAATATTGAACGAGAAATGTCAGCAAGACTAACGACTCCATTTCCAGTAAAGTGTGAACATTTTCTGCTCATGACGGATGTGTTTATAGCGCGCCAAGTGACCTTGACAACAGATGGGGGTTATACTGCCACTTTATTTCCTGTTTTCTCTGGATATCTCTCCCCGAGACAATAACAAGACAATTAACAGAAACACAAAGGGAATCAGAAACATGCTGCTGTGCATAATATAAAACAGGAGGGTCCTGTACCTTAAGAGCAAAGGGAAAAATCCATCTAATGTGAAAAATGAAAAGCTTGCAGTATTTATGAGCTACGTTTCAAAGTTTAATTGTACGCAGTTCTTTAAATGTCCTGTGACGAAATAAGTAAATGGCAAATGTATATTTTTGGGATGATTTTGGCTTAAGTTGTTCTTTCATTAAATATCCTTATTTTTGTGTCTGTAAACTTCAGTTGACAATTAATAGCTTACTGAATTAGTTGAGGATTATTTAAATTGTCAATTAATCCAATTAATCATCTCAACTCCAGAAAGTTGCTCAGTTGTTCAATCTTTGTTAGAACGTCAAGAGTTGAATTAGTCAGAAAACGTACAAAAATGCCCAACCAGGAGCTTTTCTGTTGCATAAATTAGATTTTTGTTTTTTTAATTCTGAAATATTCACTCATATTTTAATAAATTTATTTTTAATGATCCTACTGAGTAGCACTTACAAATCATCCCACTATGAAAAAAATAAATACTCCGCACAACCCAAGTGGAATACAGCTGATCAAGAAAGGCTGAGGCAGCAGTGTCATAAAAGAAATACTGCCACCTGCAGGTCGGAGTTAGTAGTCACTTAAATCCAAATTATGCATTAGAGTAAAACAAAGCAGGAATCAGTTGATTTTGCAATTTTGGAATCGTGAAAAACTGATTCATGTCATTTGGAGTCTGGAGGGCCACACAAAAAGCTCCTGAGGGCCAGATCTGGCCCCCGAGCCTTGAGTTTGACGCATCCTAATACGCTTTTAATTAATTAGTTAAATTTGGCAAATAACTGCAGGCATTTTCAAATAATGATGTGTAAATAATTTCTTTAACACTTTGTTCAATACTTATTATTATTGTAAAGGAAAAAATTTCTGGGATTTTATTTTTTGGAACATTTTGTGATGGTGGAGATTCAAAAAATGTTGCTTTACCTTGATTTGCTCCTGTTGTTGCAGAAAGTTTCATCCTGTAACAGAACCAAAAAATATTCATTTATTCTCAGAACCGGATCACTTTCCCCTGTTCAGGCAATTCTGGTCCCAAATTAGGCACAAAAGAAGTTTAAACTAAAGAACTCGATGGAATATATTTCATTTCATGAGCTGCTGAAGGTCTGCTTCAAACCTGAAGCAGAGAAATGCTTTCATTCTTCAGACAAAGGCAAATAAAAAGTATTTCTTGCACATTTTCCCACAGCAGGAAGAAACTTTGCAAAGGCTCCCAGAGGCTTTTACTGACAGAATGAAAGCATGAAATGCAGAATAACCTCCTTTTGGCTTCGCACATGAACTGACAGAATAATCTATCAGGTCAATTTAAGCTTAATTGTAGTTCTGGTATATAGATTCTTCTGGATAAAACTGTGCTACCATATGATATAACTTCAGTTTGCTCTTTTCTCAAAGGAAAAAATATAAAAATTATGATTTTGGAGAATATTTGGGTTATTTTGCTTCATTTTGTGTCATTTAAACTGACCTAAGTATGTAGAAGATGTAGAAGATTTTCTTTTTCAGATCAATAAAAATATGAACACAAATCTTGATTTGATGCTTAAAAGGTTAATCTATCCGCAATCTGGTCGCATTTATCTGATCAAATCTAGATAAGAGCAATAAATACCATAAATCTGAGCTTTAAGATATTTTAAAGAAGAGATGCAAATGTGTTTGGATTTTATCAAAAGGTCTTACTGACTGCAATTCAAAAAAACAATACAATAGAAATGTTTTAGTTTTTTTAATTGGTGCTCAACGCCCCACATTTCACCTTCTGATGCCGCTCAGGGCAACCGCCCATTTTGGCAATATTATATAAAAACAAAACAGAGTGGAGATTAAACAGTTAAGATGTTTCTCTGTCTCAACAAAACAAGCAAGCAAAAAGTTTTATTTTAATACCAACTAAAGATTATTTTGACAATTAAAAAATTTGGTACTTTCTGCTGATTTTTCATGTACCAATAAACAGTTTTTTATACAAAATTAACAAAAAAAAATTAAAAGATTCATTCAAGAGGCAAATATCATACAAGAATATGAAAACATCACAAAGTGTACAATAATCCATCTCAGTTTGTTCTTCTCTCAAGGAAAAAAAGAAAAAAATTACAATTTTAGCTCAGATTTTTGGTTATTTTGCTTCATTTTTTAGTTGATACTCAACTAAAAAAGCATTCCTCCATCTGATGCCGCTCAGGGCAACCGCCCATTTCACTTATATAGTGTAATAATTGACACTGAGTGAGTTTTAAAAGTTTAGATGTTTAAAAGCTCGCTAAGATTTATAGTTCATTACTGAGGCTGCAACTAATGATTATTTAGAAAAATGTACTTTCTGTAAATTTTTCATTTACCACAAACATTAAAAGAGGCTTTTGAGAGGCAAACATCACAAAGTGTCTTTATTTTTCTGAATTACAGGCCTCATTAGCTCATTAATAGCTTATAATAAATTAGCCTCTCTGATTGCTTCATTGACTTTAAATGCTGGCGTTAACCCCTACTCATCATCCAACATTATTTCTGATCACTGCAGGCTCTTTCAAAATGTCAAATTTAGTTTGGTTTAATCATTTATTCATTCACCTGGAGGATTTGAGACATTCACCCAGGAAAGCCAGGATGTTTTAATAGGTGCTGATTAATTGGATTGGCCTATTTTCTCCAGCGTGACTCTTAGTAAAACTGTGAAATGGCAGCGTGAGCCTCGCTCAATCACTACATGTTTGCTATTAACTCGAAAAAGAGCTTTGATGCACCAATAACACACAATTAGCTTCCTGTGCGCCAGCAGCTCACTTCAGAGGCTTTAATGGATAACATGCATCAAGCAGAAAGCTGATTCTTTAATGTGGCACTTATGGTGGAAGCCAGGTAAACACATTAATAAACAAAAAATAGACAAAAGTAAAACATTAGTTCTTTATTCTCCTGTCGCTAGGTAACTAATTTTTAAAAATGGGGAAAAAATTAGAAGAAATCAACATGAATGCTACAGAGCGTTCATATTGGAAAATAAAAAAATAAAAAGAATAAAAGTAACAGGTTACCATGGAGCTTTTTGTTTGTCCCAATACTTAAATTAAACTGCTAGAATAATTTTTACTACATTATTATTCTGGTTAAAAATTATACATTCTACAGACTTTTAACATTTTTCCAAAAAATTTTTAAAATACACTGAAAATGCAAATAAATAAACTATTTAGTTTGTTTTTTCAATATTTTTTCCGCTATGATGAAATAAAATTGGACAAATTACTGATTTGAATGTATTTTTTTCAGCACGTTAAAGGTGAAAAGCTAATTTAAATTAATATTGCTACTACTTTTAGTGACACTTTGCCTGTTTTTCCTATTCTAAAGCTGCATTTGTTATTGGAAGCCAAAATGATTAAGAGAAAAGTAAAGTTGTTAAATGTGAGATTCATATTTTTGAAAACTTCAAAACTGAATCAAATTCTGCTTTCATAAGTTGTATTTTACATTTCCTTTCCTTTAACTTTTTCAGTTTAACTATAAAGGACAAAAAGTTACATTATACCTGGAAGAAAAATAAAAAAGACTCCAAAAAAAAAATCAACAAATAAAGTAAATCCTTCCTGGTAAAACTCAGGCGCTAACATGGCGCCCGCTGTAATCAGCACCCATCACCTCTCCTTCACTACAGACAAGTCAGATACGTCGCCTTTCATCACCGTTTAGCTGAAATCATTTAGACAATCCTTTTCAGGAAGCAGAGCAGCTCAGATAGAGGGTGACTTACACGACAAGTTTTAATACTTTCTTACTCTGTCACCGCGCTCACCGGGTATAATTAGATGCCAGTCATAATGACGGGAATCGTTGCAGAGTCGTTTGAATTAGATTTCAATCTCCAAAAAGGCTGGTGTAGGCGCGCGTCGTTAAGGCCGGCTTATGAAGCCCTCAGCCACTCCATTGAGTTGTTTTCTAATTAATTTAGGAGTGTGTGTTGGGTGTGTAAATATCAGAGCGAGTTTGAGGCAGCTAATGTATTCTCCCTCACAAGAAAGATATCGCACAAAGAAATCCATCTTGCTCTTTCTTCAGCTGCTGGAGGACACGAGAGAATAACACATACATCTTTATTAGACCTGAGGCAGAAAATGCTTTATTGTATGTGTGGCTTTGTGCCGAGTTTCACTGTTTTCTGATGTGGATGGACTCACAACAAGTTTTATTTCATTGAGACTTTTAATTCAGTATTTATTAGTTTTGGCTTTTATTAGTTTTAGGTTATTTCATACTTTTGTTAAATTTCAGGTGCAGAATTTAAAAATATTGTACTTTGATTATAGTAATGAATACTCAACAGAAGATGCCTTTTCTTTTGTTGAACTCCAGCAATTTTTCCAAATGTCTGCAGTCGCCATCACCTGAGTAAAGCCTTCACCTTCTTCAAATGTTTGTGCCGCTATCATTTTAAAGGTATTAAGAAATATTTCCAGAGGTCATGAAAGGTCAACCAGCCTGCCCTCTTTGATAAAATCAAAATTACCTTTAAAATGAAACAAAATACCTTCAGAAACAGAATTGACTGAGCCAGATAAATATTTATAATAATAATTAGCTAGCAAATTAAACATTTGGTTTGAAGCTCAATTTTTAGTTATGAACTAAATATTAAACTCTGAACTAAGTATTTATTTAGCAATTTAAATATTTAGCCTCAAATGAATTTGCCAGTTTGCTAAATATTTAGGATGCAGTTCAATATTTAACCCCAAACTAAATATTTTGTAAGCAAGCTGAATATTTAACTCCAAAACAATTATCTAGCAAACTAAATCTTTAGTTTAGAGCTTAATGTTTAGCTTACAAACTAAATATTGAACAGCAAACTAAATATTTTCGGTATGTAGCAATCTAAACATTTATCTACAAACTAACTAACTAGCTAACTAAAGATTTAGTCAGCAAGTTAAACATTTAGTTCCAATATAACAGGCTAGCAATTTAAATAGTTTAGAGCTCAATATTTAGCTTACAAATTAAATATTGAGTTAAAAACTAAATATTTATTTGGCAACCTAAATATATTTAGTTTGTAAACCAAATATTTGATATGTCTTTGGTATAGAAAAATATAGAATTTACAAAGTAAACTAAATATTTATTGTGCTATGAGTTTCCAAAGACAATCTTTTTCTGATATTTCTGTTTTACCAAGAAATTGTAGCCAAAGATGTTCTAATTTCATTGGTTATAAAAAGCTCAGACAGAACCAGAATGAATGTTAGATCTTTCAATCAGTATAAATTTGTGCCAAGATAACTAATGAGGTTAAAAAAAGAAAGAAAATATGTAAAGTGGGGCAAAGTAAATTTGTACTATTTTATCTTTGTCAGATTCAGAGAAACAACCTCATTAGTGTGACAACAAATATTCAAAGATCTGAGATACAAGTAAAGGTAACATCTGAGGGTCACTAACAAGCCTCAGCTTTAATCTGTAACAAACCGATCCTGTATTTTTATAATGATTGTCAGTTTTAATGATTCTGTGTGGACTTTATGAGATGTATTAGCAGCTTCCTGTCTGTTATCTAATAAAGAGCCGTTGGAGTGGGAGGGTGTTGTGTCTGGACACAGGTTTCCTTGGGGTCATGGTTCAAAGTCTGAGCAAAGATAAAAGCCTGAAGAACGAAGGAGGAAGAGGAGCGCGAGCGAAAGGAGAATATGTTATTTGTCACTGCTTGTTAAAAACAAACTGCTGAAGAGCCCTGAAGATCCAGTGCTTTGAAAACTAAGACCTCTGGCCTTGAACATAAGCAGAGAGCGAACGAGGCACTCCTAATCGTAATGAGAGTTCTCTCGCCTCCCCATCCTGGCTGGTGACGGATGCCTGGATATTATGCAATCCATTACTGGCTATCCTCGGGGCATTTTGCCAGCATGCTAAGGGTCGAACCGCCTCTCAAAACACCATCTTCATAAA